TTGGGGGCGATATGCTGACTCGGTAAACCGCTTAGAGAGGGCTGAAAGCCCTATGAAGCGGTATATAAGTCTAACTGCTATTGCTAGATAGTTGATGAATTAAAAAAACTTATTTTCCACATTTTATGTTCTCATAAAAATGGCAAAAATCGCCATTATTTGTTGTTGCTTCTTTTTCTCATTTCTCGTTTTCTTAATTCCTAACATTTATTATATTTTCTTTAAACGGTGATTTCCCATTTGTCAAGAGAAAATGACTTCCTATGAAAGAAAAATGATTGCAATAAAGTTATTATTATTTAGTTATAAGTTATTCAGAAATAATATGGTATGCTGGACAACTGTAAAATAATTGGCATGCAGCTAAGCTACAGTATTTGTTTGAATAACAATTGTTTTCTTGCAGTGTTGGTTCAGACGCGTGGTGGAAATTCCAATGGTGCCCTGTGTCACTTCCCTTTCCTTTATAATAATCGGAATTACACTGATTGCACTTCTGAAGGACGAAGGGATAACATGAAGTGGTGTGGAACTACCTCAAACTATGATGTTGATGAAAAGTTTGGATTTTGTCCCATGGCAGGTATATTGCAGATATGTCTGTTAGGACTCAATATTATTCCTTAATTCTCGGGAATTGTGAAGATATGTTTCGATTTAAATATTCATTCACCTTGTATATACAGTTAGTTGTTGTATATAAAAATTAGCCTCAGTAAAACTGATTTTACAATTTTATTATGAGAATAAAATTTGTGAAAATCTATTTAAGACATTCAGAATACAAAGTTCAAATGGACATTCATATTTGAAGTGCTCAGAAGAAAATGAATACTATTAGCACTGATATAAAATAAGTATGGAAGAAATAGAATTCCCAAGAGTCAATCTTGTTATTTTCATGAACAAGAAGCATGTAATAATCAAAATAAGCCTAATTCATTTTTTTCTGTTTAATAGATTTTTGTTGTTTTTCATCTATAACAACTTTCAATCATCACATTGACATTGCTATGTCATCATACAGTACATACATACATACAGTATAGGACTGTAAATGAATGCATATAGAAGTGATGTATATACATCTTATATCGCTTCTATATATGCATTAATTTACAGTTCTATACATTTCTTTATTGCTTCTTGGCTAAATAAACTTTATTTCTGTTATACAACCATTTATACCAATTATCTCAAATTTCATAGTACTCAGACTCTTCTCTGTCCTTTAATCTTTATGTTAATTTATCCATTT